TAAAAATTTGAAAAAACAATATTGTTATTAGTACCAAACTAAATATTTAAAATTTATTCTTTTTGTGTATTTCGTTAATCCATTTTTTATCTTTGATTTAATAATATAATTTTTATAAAGATAATAATCAAATATTTTGGTAGATATCAATAATTATCTTAATTATATTTTAATTTTTTTATATTTAAAATAAGATATTTATCCGTTATTTGATTATATTTATCTATAGTTAGTTATACGAATTCAAACATGAAGCTTTATTAAGTTGTTCTTACGCACACTTTACTTGTAATCTTGAATTTTAAGTAATATACATCAATAAATAGTACTTTATGCATAAAAAATGGTTTTTAAAAATCTTTGTCAAATGCTTTATAATATAGTATATATATATATATATATATATATATATATATATATATATATAAGATTGTGTTCACGTGAGACAATGCTGTTTTCGTGAGACACGATTTTTACACTTGAAACTTCACAACAAGATGATGTGAAAGCAAAAAAAAAAATCGAATCCTCACAGTAAAAAACTGTGAAGGTCACCTTCATAGTGTTTTGTTGTGAAGTTTCAAGTATAAAAATCATGTTTTACATGTCTCACAAAAACAATTTATATCACATGATCCCAAATCTTTCTCTATATGTGTGTGTTCGGCAATTATATATGTAATGATTAGAAGATACCACTTAAGTAATTTTGATGAGAAAAGGACATTTGTTATAGAATAAAAGTAATGTACATTATTTATCTTTTACATAGGGCTAAAGTAGAGATGGCCAAGCTCGGCCCACATTGGCTCGACATAGAATGGAACCAGTAACGACTGGTTACAACTTGATAATCTTGGTTCGCTTATAACTTTTCTGAAATTTTATCTGTGGATGGAACTGGTTATGTTTAGGGACCGATTCTCAAAGATTTTCAAATTTTTATTAATTATAGTACATGATTTTTTAAGATTTGTTATCATAAATTTAATATTTAAAGTGCGTATTTCAATACTCAACTTTAAAGGGCGTTAGCCAGCTTTTTTGTTCTTAATCCTTAATTGATTAAAGCTAGAAAAACTTGGATTGTTTAGGTGAATGATTAGGCTCGGTTCATGTTTAATCCTTACTAAAACTGGGATTTTTATCCATTTCTCAATCTGGGCTCGGTTTAGATTTATTAACTTTTATTTTAACTGATACAAGATCATACAATATAATCTTGAAATATTGTAATTGATTTAATTAGCTTACATTTTAGAAAAATAAATAACTTATGTTTTAAAAATCATTATATAGAGAGAGTATTTTAAAATATAAAAAGGAAAAGTACATAAAACTTAATAAAAAAATTATTTTAAATAATTAAGTCCTTGATCTTTTTTCTAAAATTCTCGTGTGGTCCATTTATAGCATAATCATACATTCTTCAAACTTTTTTTTGAATAAATAAATCACTGAACTTTCACATTTTGAATAATTAAGTCTTGAACATTTTCTTGAATAAATAAATTGTCAAACTTTTAAATATTTGTTGCCTACATCCTTTTAGCTCAAAAAAACTGCATGTAATTCGTAATGATGTTAAAGGTATAAAAAAAAACCCTATATCAGTTTATTGTTCTCAAACCATACGCCATTTAAACCTCTTGCAATCGCTCCCCCTCGCTATCTCTCGTTGCTCCATGTACCAACAAAAAAAATTGGTACCAAGTACAGTTGGTTGGTACATGGTATTAAATTTTGCATACCAATTATAATTGATTGGTACACGGTATTGAGGAAAAAAACTTGATACCATACCAAGTCCACCCCTAGACGGTGATGGAGAGTAGATGACGATAGGGCATCTAGGGGAAGTAATGTTGTTAGGTGCAATGGGTTTGAATGTTATATGGTTGGGAACAATAAAATTGATTTAATTGTTTTTTTATTTTAAAACATTTTTAATCAGTTACAGTTAAGTTTTTTTAGTATGTAATTAAATATAAGAGTTCAATGTCTTATTTATTTAAAAAAATCCAGAAACATAATCATTCAAAATGGTAAAACTCAATGATTTGTTTATTCTAAAAAAATTACAGACTTAGGAGTCGTTTACTAAACGCTTATCCAGTAATTGTTTACCGGGTAATTTTCTTTTCCAAATGAACATGGTAAGGGTTTAGAATCTTACCCGGTTAAAACGGTAAAAGGATGGAAAGTCTTACCCGGTAAAAGTGGTGAAAGGATGAAGAGTTTTACCCAGTAAGTGAGAGTGAAGACTCTTACCCGGGTAAACGCTTACCGGGTAAATTGTTGCATACTATATCGTTTTGATGCACTACAATCTTACCCAGAAAAATAAATTATAGTGTTGACTCCTATCAGTAAGTACTTACCGGGTAAAAATTTGAGTAAACGGCCCCTTAATCATGAAAATAAGAAAGTTAATAGAGTTTTTATAAATTTTTTCCATTATAAAATATATAATAAACTAATATAATATAATCGTAATTAAATAGCATTTGACGTAGAATGGTAAAGTAGATGTTTTATTAAATTTTTTGTTGGATAATATATATATCGTAGTCGATCAACTATTTCAAATGAATGACATGTACCGACACTTGGTGATAACAAAAAAAAAATAAGCACTTCTTTTTTGGGGTACAAAATGTCAAATTGTCACGTTTATTTAAATGGTACTTTTTTGTACGCGTTGTTGTGTATTTAATATATAGAAATATAGATAAGTGTACATGTGTTGTGTTTTTTAATCACTAAGGGGCTGTTTGGCAGTTGCTGAATGATTTAGTGCAAAATAGTTAAGAGGTCAGAATAGTTAAGAGGGTAAGAATGGTTAAGTGTTGAATGAAATAATGTTGTTTGGTAACTGTTTTCTGAATGACAATAAATTACCATTTTAACCCTCATCTAAAAAAACCCATTATTCCATTTTAACCTTCACCGATGCCCTCTTTGCCCTCATCGATGGCTTCAATCTGTAGGGTGGGGTGTGGTTGTGAAGACCGGCGACGAGTGAGGGTGGGGGAGGGGCTGTGATTCATAAAACCCGTAAGCTCCGACGATGGCACCGGCTTTACCGGCAGCGGCGACGAGTGAGGGTGGGGGAGGGGCTGTGAAGACCGGCGACGTGTGAGGTGGGGGAGGGGCTGTGAAGACCGGCGACGTGTGAACGTGTGAGGTGGGGGAGGACAAAATTGGAAAAAGAAGACTCTGAATGGTTGAGTGAAGCCTCATATGCAAAATGGTTAAGAGGGGTTGTGTAACCATTAAGAGCCTCTTTTTTTTGCCAAACACTCTTAACCTCTTACCGATTAAGAGATTGGCTCTTAATGTAACCATTAAGAGCCAAACAAACAGCCCCTAAGCTCTTATGGTTACGTACATTTAAAATATGCATTAAAAATTTTCATAACCAAAGTTGGTAATATGAACTTTCACCTCGTAAAAGGTTAAGATGACTTGAATCGAATCTAACTCTTTTTATTAAAATATCTCTGCGTACAGAAGTCAATAACTTTATTCTCTTTCTCATTTAGTAAATTAAACTTGCTTTTAGATCATGTTAATTAGCAAACTACTACTTTGCAAAAGTTTACGTATATATCATTTTTTAACGTATAAACATAATCATTCAATAGGTGAGAATGTACAGAACATTTAAATGTTGTTTACCTAAATGTTTATCCGGTAAGTACTTACCGATAGGATTCAACATTATAATTTATTTTGATACGTAAGATTTTAGTACATCAAAACATATCGAATGCAACAAGTTACTGGGTAAGTGCTTACCTGGGTAAGTGCTTACCTGGGTAAGAGTCGTCATCCTTACTTACCGGGTAAGACTCTCTATCATTTTCATTGCTCTTACCCGGTAACATTCTTGGCCCTTTTCATGTTCATCCGATAAGGAAATTTATCCGGTAAGCACTTACCAAGTAAATGTTTAGTAAACGGCCCCTTAGATTAACATTTTTTAAACTTATATATAATTAGCATAACAATATATTAACTATAATAATTCGAATATTTCATACATGCATACATACACACACACACATACACACACACACATATATATATATATATATATGTATAAAAGGTTGAGTTCCGATGAGAATGAAAGTTAAGGTGAGAAATGTAAAAATAAATCTCTATCATTGGATACACATTAGGATTAGATACACCGAGTTAATTTCCCATGAGAAGCGTAATTCAAGGGTGACAAGAGATTAAAAGTGATAAAGAGTCCAGATTGCTTTTTACACTTCTCATCTTAACTCTACTTTTCACACGATCATTCACTTATGTGTGTGTATGGAGGGAGAATCAAACGAGAATATCGTCAAAATAAGAGAACATGGTAAAAGTTAAATCACATACGATTACAGAATACAATCAACGCAAAGGTGTGTGGATAATTTGGTCCACAACCTAGGCTACGGTCAAGGTAACATATAATCACATGTGATTTTACACATGAGTTTAGTATATTCTCATATTCTCTTTTGTTACTGTTATTATTTGAACCCGATTTTATGTATACTTGTGTTTTTTTTAATAAAAATTAAAATTGCTCCTTCATATGTACATAACATATACATATATATATATATATATATATGTAAGTGATTATGATATAAATATTTTTATTAAATTACGATAAGATTATGGTTTTTATAATTACATGTGGGGCCCTATCTTTGAAAAATTTGTCAATATCCACCCTCCCCACAAAACATATCTTAATTTAAACGGACACGAATAAAACTGGTTACGCGTGGTTTCCCACTATCTTTTGTGGAACAAATCAAACCCTCTAATTTTTTAAATATTTCAAATCACACCCCTTCACTTTTTTTTATTTACTTTCACTATTCAACGACGTTGAATTGCCATGCAATCTGGTCATTGTGTTAGGTAACCTGCCCCTCTCTTTGCATGCATTCATCACTCTATATAAACTCCCATCATTCATTCATAATTCTCACAACATTTCACACATTTTCTAAGTCAAATACTTTGACATTTTTAAAATGGGGTTTTCATCTTCTCTCGTTCTTGTGAAGTTGGTGTTTGTTATGGTTTTTATGGGAGTTGTTTCCGCTCAACTTTCAACAAATTTTTACTCGAAATCTTGCCCGAACCTTTTACCTACTGTGAGGTCGGCTATGCAATCGGCTATTTCGAAAGAAACCCGAATAGGCGCTTCTCTCCTCCGCCTACACTTCCATGATTGCTTTGTCAATGTAAAATTTGATTTCTGTTTCCTCAACTTCTATAACTTTGAAATTGTTACAGAACTATGCATCGACGTTATTTCAGTATTGTTATCTCATCGGGTCTACTTAATTAATTGTTGGTACCTGTTTAGAAATCCGGAGGTTTTAAATTTATACCTCTGATACGTATATTGTTTGATACATGGACCTTCTGTATCTTGCATGCTAATTAGTGTTCACTTTGCATTTATTACCAATTGGTTGTACAAAGTCAAATGTAGTGGGCTAACTATAATCACGTAGTAACCAGTCTTTTCATAACTTTTTCTGATATAACTTGTACTTGTATTTGTTATGTTATTTTTTTTATATATTTAATATGATATTCCCATTGGGTTTCAGGGATGCGATGGTTCAATCCTTCTTGACGATACATCCTCTTTCATCGGTGAAAAGAGGGCGGCTCCTAACTTTCGATCTGCAAGAGGGTTTGAAGTGGTGGACAATATAAAGTCAGCTGTTGAAAGAGCATGTCCTGGTGTGGTCTCGTGTGCTGATATACTAGCTGTTAGTGCTCGAGACTCTGTTCAAATCGTAAGTGCCTCTTAATTATATTTTGATATATAAACCAAAAACTGCGCACTTTTAATTAAGATGTGTATGTGATAAATTAAATTATTAATTTGGGGTGTGGATTGAAATGGATGAAGCTTGGAGGACCAAGTTGGAATGTGAAATTGGGAAGACGGGACTCAAGGACAGCGAGTCAAGGTGCAGCCAACAACAGCATTCCACCACCCACATCGAGCCTCAGTGGACTCATCTCTTCCTTTAGTGCGGTTGGTCTTTCGGCTAAGGACATGGTGGCTCTCTCAGGTCAACCTCCTTAATTCGGCTCTCCTTTCACCAATTAAATAAAAACGAGAATCAGGTTGTGTTCTGGTGAGAATGAAAGTTATGATAACAATGGTTCATCCTAATTGAAAAAGGAGCACCAGATCAACACTAATAAAATACACCAGATCAATTCCATTTTAAAACACAATTCATTGGTTGTTTGATTAAAAATGATTAAGAGTCCAAATTCATTCTTACATTTCTAATCTTAACTCATATTTTTGCTCGATCCTTTAAATCAAAATCTCAAAAAAAAATTAATATTTAAATTTTGAAATCCGAATAAATTTGATCCACATAAAAGTTATCGATTAATTTAAGTAGGAATCAACATTATGATTTATTTTTATCGGATAAGATCGTAGTACATTAAAACGGTATACTATGCAACAATTTACCCGGTAAACACTTATCCAGGTAGGAGTCATCACCCTCACTTACCGGGTAAGACTCTTCATCCTTGTTATCATTCTTACCAGGTAAAAATCTTGACCCTTGTCATCTTCATCCGGTGAGAAAAGTTACTCGATAAATACTTACCGAATAAACGTCTTGTAAACAACCCCTGAATCTTGTTTGATTCTATTGGTCCATGTGTTCACTTGCATGTTTTTTTTAATTTGGAAATGAAAACAGGAGCCCACACGATTGGGCAAGCAAGGTGCACAAATTTCCGAGCTCGAATTTACAACGAAACCAATAATTTGGATGCTTCATTTGCTACATCAAGGCGGAGGAACTGCCCAAGACCCACCGGCTCCGGCGACGACAATCTCGCACCACTTGATATCCAATCTCCGACGACCTTCAACAATGACTATTACAAGAACTTGATCAACCAGAAGGGTTTGCTCCACTCAGACCAACAGCTCTTTAACGGTGGCTCCGCCGACTCTACCGTTAGACAATACGGTAGCAACCCCCGTCTATTTAACTCCGACTTTGTTGCCGCCATGATCAAGATGGGTGATATTAAGCCACTAACGGGATCCAGTGGCGAGATCAGGAAAAATTGCAGGAATCGCAATTAAAATCTTCAATGAAGTTTGGTGTTCTTTTTTTATCATAAATTTTGAGATTTGAAAAAAGTGTGGATTATGCGTGTTTAAGTGTTGTTCTTGTTCTTAATCATCGTACTTTCAGGTTTCGTTTAAGTATCCGATAAATATGTATTTTTCCCCTTTTCTGAAGTAACAATATAAATAACTGCTTCGTTTATCAAATTTTCAATTAAGTTCTGTATGGATAAATTTGTCTGTCTGAATAATAATGTGTTGTTGTTTACGTTTTTTTTTCCTGAATCAACGGTCTGAACGATAGAAATAGTTGTTTTACCATTGAGTATAAATTATACCTTGTTTAGTTCAACTTTACATATAAGATCAATTCATCAAAAACACAGTGTGTATCTATCATCATCCAAAAGATAAATTTCAATACCAAGTTATCATCGTTTTTGTTGGAACTTAGTATGGTGTAGGAGAAGTTGTCTCACATAAGAACCTCAATCCTTGAGCATTAAATGAATCATTTAATTGTTTGGGCTTGGTGTGTGGTGTTCTCGGTGGGCTCTTGAGGTCTCGTGGTTGATAGACGGAGATGACTATGCTCGATAACACTGGTTCGCAAGCCGGTTATTGGAAGTTACTGGCGGTTACGACGGTTACTGTCGGTTAACGAAAAGGATATAAAAACCCTTCACTGCCTACGTTTTCAATGGTCTCTCATTTCGACCAACAGACACGAAAAACAAACTTCCTGTTTCTCTCTCGTTCTTCTTCCACACGAATCCCTCACCGACCATACTCTTAATTCGATAGATTCAAGTTCATACTTGAATAGATTGGTGTATCCTCAAGACAACACCGATTCACCGGTGCAATTTTTGTCTTAGGATACTGCGTTTAATGCGGGCCTCAATCGGTTTTCTGCAACGATCTTTGGAACAACGAATCTACGACTACAAGTAAGGTCTACGATTTCTAGTTATTTGTATTTTCGTGTAAAGATACTAGTTGAATATTGCAGTTTTCTGTTTTGTTCAATATATATACACATGTTAGTACGTTATATGGTTGATCAATCCCTAACAGTTTTATACACCAATTTATAATCGGTGATTGCTTGAGTCCATACAAGAATCATTGAATACGAGAAAGCTAGGTGGCCTCTTCATGAACTGTGAAATCTCACTGTTGTTGATCTGTATGTACCAATTTCTCAAAAACCAAGTTTAAATCTATAAATCCAACAAGATATCGGCAACCAAGTTGAAATCTGTAAATCCAACAAGATATCAAAACCCAAGTTCAAATCTTTAATTCCAACAAGATATCAAAACCCAAGTTCAAATTTTAATTCCAACAAGATAACAAAACCCAAGTTCCAATTTTAATTCCAACAAGATATCAAAGCCCAAGTTAAATTTTCTAAATCTTAACTTCAAGTTCAACAACAAAGGAAAAACAGTAGCAAACCCATATGAGGATTTGATTCGATTTTTAGGTAAGAAGTTGGAGATTAGGGGAGAAGATGAACAAATAAGAGAAGAGAAGAGAAATCGAAAAAAGATACGAGGGGAGAAGACGAACAGATTGAACAAGTAAAAGAATCGAACAAGCAGAAGATATCGACCAAGCATAAATCGAGTGGCTATGAAGGAAACCAAACTAGCATAAATTGAGTGGTTATGGAGAAAATGAGTAAGGAAATCATTACCTATGGAGAAATCGAGTGAAGGAAATTGTTGCTTGTGTTGAAATCGAACCAACATAGTGAAGGAGAAATGTAGAGCGGCTAAGGTTGAAGATTTTGGCATGTTTGAATGGTCGAACCAGCAAAGTGAAGGAGAAAGGGGTAGGCGTGTTCTTTTCTGGGCTGAACATAGATAATACATCATTTCCCTCTGTGCGAATAAGTCAACAATTGTGCGAATAAGCCAACACCCTATTTTTGTTGTCCGAATAAGCTATTCAACTCATTAAGCTCATTACGTGCTAAGTAAACACCCCTTAACATTGGAATAAATTTGAAAGTGCAGAAAAAGTGAGAGGAAATCATTTTAGTATTATTATTTGGACCATCTTTTTGTTACTTCATATAATTGAAAATGTAAAAAACTTTAATTTTGTGTTAATGAGAAAAAAATTAGTCAGGAAGGTTACACATTGTAAATGATATTGAAAGATTGACTTAAGTTATATTTGTGAATAAGCAGACAATGTTATATTCCAATAAGAATATAAGCTATACTGATATTATGTATGACAAATTAGGTGGTGACTGAAAAACTAGTTGTTGATCGATAAGACAGTTGCTAGCTGAAAAATCTTGCTGATAAACTAACTTCGTTTAGTAAATGTGGCCGATATACTAATTGACAAATTATAAAATGATGTAAAAAGACAAACTTAATTTTAAAAACTGCTAAAATAATTAAAACAAACCACTAATACATTTTATTACAGTATTAAAATAATAAGTAAAAAATAACAAAATCCAGACATCATAATCGTGGAGTCATAATACATGAATTATAACCTCATACATCATGATTATAGTGCAAAAGGTATCCACTTGGGATATAATGCATAACATGATTGTATCGAAATTTTGCACTTGGGATTTACTCATAACCCATTGTATCAAAAACGAATCAAATTAGAAATTGAAACAAAACAAGAAGATTTGTTGACGATTTTCTTTCGCTAAACAGTCCTAAAACAAAAGAAACAGAAAGTGCAACTAATTCACATTAGCCTTTCATTTACAGCTTATACCATGTACCTCTTAAGACATGAACTCCAAATAAGCTTTATTACAACTTCATGTTGAAATACCAAGAAATACTGTTTAAGGCCTCAACCAATCATTGAGATACCAAAACATACTGTTAAGGGCCCCAACTCAATCAACAAAACAAAAAATGGTCTACAGATGATAATATGTAGGTAGAAAGATTAAACAGAAGGGAAAAGTAAGCCATTTGCTAGAAAAATTAAACTGTTTTTGTAAAACCAAACAAAACCGCATCCAATATGATAATATCCAATATGGTTTTGCGAAACCAAGCAAAACCACATCCATTTTGCCACCTGACATTCATGCATATGTGGTAATTTGCAAGCCAATATCTAGAAATATAGCCTCTCCGATTTAGGAGGCCGACTAATAAATCTATCAATTATTTTGGGATGTATTGTCTATCAAATTCATATATGGAACAGAAAAAAGAATGGAGTACACTGAAAGTTAATCGAACAAAAAAATGGAGTACCTCCACAGAAGGGAACAACCTTACCGGTGACATATTGAAATAAGTTAATAAGTTATTTTTATAAACAATCTCAAATACCCCAAAATACCACCAAATCTCTTTTATGAGCAACGGTTAAAAATCACAAATTATGCATTTTAAAAGGAATTTCATAAAATTCATGAAATTTAAAAACTAATGGGCTTAAATAAACGTAAAGGATCCATGGAGCTGTAATTTTCAAAAGTAGCCCACCAACACAAAACCCGTTTTGTTTCTTCCCGACCCGAATACTTGATCAAATTTTTGAAACTTCGATTTTGCTTTATTTATGTTGGGTTTCTTACCATTATCCTAAGGGTGCGTTTGGTTTGCGGGATTGGAATGGAATTGGGGGGATTTGGATTTGAAATCCATTCCAATCCAGTGTTTGGTTTGCTGGATTGTGAGAAATTGAAATCCATCGCTTCCTTTGAAATCCCATGAACAATGGATTTAAGAATCCTTCCCATATACCTGGGATTTTAGAATCCATTCCTTTTTGCCCTAACCTACCCGTCGGCATCTTCTCCTCCATCGCATCGCTCACCTCCGTCGCTCTCTCCCGATCGTCTCCATCGCCGTCGCTTCCCCCTCGGTCGTCTCCGTCGCCGTCGCTTCCCCCCGAGGTCGTCTCCGTCGCCGTCGCATCCCCCCGAGGTCGTCGCCGTCGCATCGCCCCGAGGTCGTCGCCGTCGCATCGCCCCGAGGTCGTCGCCGTCGCATCGCCCCGAGGTCGTCGCCGTCGCTTTCCCTCGAGGTCGTCTCCATCGCCGTGGCTTTCTCCCACCGTCGTCTTCGTCGCCGTCGTTGACCATCTCCTCCAGCCTCCATTTTCATCCTCCATTCGCATCCTCCAGGTAATTTCTACTTAACAATACGATTAATGCTCCGATTTGTACTTCGATTTCTGCATATTATACTTCAATTTCTGCATATTTTGTGACGATTTGTACTTCATATGCTGTTCTGATTAATGCTGTTCCGATTAAAGTTCCGATTTGTAGTTCATATGCTGTTAAAAAAAATCCAAATCCTGCAAACCAAACACAGGAATGGATTTTAAATCCAATCCAATCCAAATCCCATGGAATCCAAATCCCTCAAAAACATTCCCGCAAACCAAACGCACAGGGAGGGAATAATTTCTCATATGACATGTGCTTCACGTTAAATCTTCCAAAATAAACAAATCGGTTTTTTATTCACCGGAATCGATCTAATCATTTACAGTGTTTGTTTGATATCAAACCCCTCAGTCTGGAAAATTCGTTCAAACCGGACTGCGAACACCCCTAGACAAGAGCGAGGTACAACAAGGTCATTGTTGTCTAGCGCCCTTATCACAAAGCTATATTTTGGCGCAACTTTTGGTATAAATGACGCAACTGCTGGTATTTTTTTGGGTGCAATTTTGGTATATTTGATACAATTGTTTGTCTGTATTTTTTGACGCAACTTTTGTTATATATTTTGATTCAACTTTTGGTATATATTTTGGTTCAATTTTTGGTAAATTTATGCCCAAATTTTGTATCCAGATTATTATGCTTTGGATACAACTTTTATATATTTTGGAAAAAGTAATGAAAATGGTATATTTGTTTTTCTTATAAATGTATGTTTCAGACTTTTTCCATTATTTTAACACATTAACCAGTTTTACATGTTATAAGAATGATTTAACAGTTTTTAGAAAGTTCAAGGGGTTATTTAATATGTTTTAGAATATTCAAGGACTTATTTAACAAGTTTTGAAATGTCAAAAGATTTATTTGTTTCAAAAAATTGTCTAATAACTTAATCATTCTAAACACTAAAGTTCATTGAGTTTTTTAGACTTTTATTTATTTTCCTCCCATAAAATATTATAATGTTGAAGTAATATAAAAAGTTTCCGGTTTTAATCATAAATATGTAAAATAAATTTCAATAAATATTTTGTAACTATACCACTATTTTTAAGCAATAGGAAAAATTCAACATTACCACCTGATCAAACTATTTATTAAAGCACATGTCTAATTAATTGTTGTGTTTACTAAATACTCGTATTTAGTTATTGGCTAAGTCATCAGGTAATTTTAACAATATGTGCATAAAACTGAGTCTACGTCGCTTAGACCAAATCTTTTGAAATCATTAAGAAGATGTCATATATTTATATAATCTTAATAAAAAAATTAAGTAACTGAAAATGTATTCGTATAATACAACGAGATACATCTTAATTTATTTTATTATTTTTTTTGTCGATTTTAAAATACAATTTTGTATGATTTTGAGAAATCGATAATGTTTTTATGTTTAAATAAAGTATTTGACTTGAAGACCCCATAAAAAAAATTAAAGAAATTTAAATTTAAAATTAATTATAATATAATTTAATTTAGGTTTAATAATATAATGTTTTTATAAGGATAATAATTTAATATTTTATTAAAACTCAATGAATATTTTACTAATATTTTAATTTTTTAATATTTAAAATAGTTGTTTTTCTTGTATTTGATTATATTTATCAATTAATTAGAAGGAAATCCGCGCAATGCAACGAGATACATCTCGATTTTAATGTTCTATTTTATTTTTTGTCTTTGTCGATGTTATAATACGATTTTATGTGTTTTTAAGAAAACAATAATGATTTTATTTTTGAATAAAATATAAATTTGAAAATATCAAAAAAAAATTGAAAAAAAATATCAATGTTAATATCAAATCAACTATTTAAAATTTCTCATTTTTATGTAATTTTTTTAATTTACTTTTTTTTTATCATAATTTAATTTAAGTTTAATAATAAAATAATTTATTTTTGGTTTAATAATATAATATTTTATAAAAATAATAATTAAGTATTCTGTTAAAACTCAATGATTATTCTAATTATATTTTAATTTTTTTATATTTAAAATGAGATTTTTATCCTATATTTGATTATGTTTATCTGCAGTTAGTTACACGAATTTAGATATGGAGCTTTAATAAGTTATACTTACTCACAATCTACTTGTAATCTTGAGTTTTAAGTAATATGCATTAATAAACAATACTTTATGAATAAAAAAATGGTTTTTAAGAGTTTTTGTCAAATAATTTATAATATAGTAATTATATGAATTCAAATATACTAGAAGGGTACTCGTACAATGCACCGAGATATATCTTGATTTTAATATTTCATTTTATTTTTTTATCTCAGTCGATGTTATAATATGGTCTTATGTGATTTTGAAAAAACGATGATGTTTTTATTTTTGAATAAAATATAAATTTGAAGATATCATAAAATTTGACAAAAATATATCGATATTAACATCAAATTAACTATTTAAAATTCATATTTTTTGTGTAATTTTTTAATTCAGTTTTTTATTATAATTTAATATATGTTCAATAACGAAATAATTTATATTTTGTTTAATAATATAATTTTCTTATAAAAATAATAATTAATTATTTTGTTAGAACTCGATAATTATCTTAATTATATTTTAGATATTTTATATTTTAAAATGAAATATTTATCCTTTATTTGATTATGTCTATCTATAGTTAGTTATACGAATTCAAACATAAAGCTTTAATAAGTTGTACTTATGCATAATTTACTTGTAATTTTGAATTTTAAGTAATATGCATCAATATACAGTACTATACATAAAAAATGGTTTTTAAGAATTTTTGTTAAATGCTTTATAATATAGTATAAAACTTTAATAAGTTATACTTATACATAATTATTTATAATTTTAATTTTTAAATAATATACATCAATATACAATATTTCATACATAAAAAATAATTTTTAAATTTTTTTATTAAATACTTTATAATATAGTTAGGTATCATTATCTATAATTTTAAATTTTAAATAATATAAAACAAGTTACGTGATATTTTGGGGGTCGATAAAACGAGGAGCCAAACCTAAGTAACAGTATATACCTTTGGGCTCAAATCCAGCCATAAAAACAGAGCAGTAGTTCATATTCATATCATCGTCGTCTTCATCGCAGATAATCGGGGCCATGGAATCTGCTTTCAGTTTCAGACTGTCTACTCCCTCTCTGTTTCTTCCAAACCATCACGCTCTTAACTTCAGATTATCGGTTGTTCTTTAAATCTTTTCGATTTTTTTTCTGTTTCTTCTTATACCTATATGCTCATGATTCTTGTGTTTCACAGAGATTACAACGTTTGAGCTTTGTTGACCAACAACGTAATCGGAAAAACGTGATTAGGAGTTCTTATGGGTCCGACGAAAACGGGTCGCTTGATGGATTTCAGTTCACACCAAGCAAGATATTTATGGAAGAGGTACTTTTTTGTATCCAGTATGCAACCCAACTAAAAAATAGCTTCGCACCTTGTTGGGGTAATCTTGTCGAATTATGGGATAATTGTAGAATTGGGGTTTCTGGCGTTCATTTTTTTTTTGTTTTTATTCTGGGAAATTCTTGAGTGGTAATCGTGGGATTTATACGAATTGCAAGTTTAGGCAATTGGAGCTGAATATGGAGAAGGTTTTGAGACATTCAGACCAGATGGACCCTTGAAAATTGATGTTGTAAGCATTATACTATCTCTTAGCTTTCAGCAGTGGCTACAATTTGAGTTTTAATTCAAACCTTTTTATCGTGAAATGATAATTCGATGTTCATCATGTATTTAAATATTTAATACCCACAAAATTTCAATTTTGAGTCTTTTTAAATAATTTTAATGCTGTTTAGCAGTTTGTGTTCATCAAGTTCTCGAATTCAAATCATTTCTGAAGTCGATTATTAGCCCATTTGACTTGAACATTCAATTTCTCTCTCTTTGTTTCAATAATGAGGGAGAAAATGTAATATATTTCTGTTGTAATTTATATATGTACTTTCTTGCAAATTAGGTGTGTCAATTTACTTCTCAGAAGCTAAGTCTTTAGGATTGTGGCTGGTTTTCATGCAGGACTTTTTGAATGACAGATTACAAGAGGGTTTTCTAAAACGAATTCGATATGCTATGAAGCCAGATGAAGCTTATGGACTTATTTTCTCATGGGACAGTGTGGTGGTAGGTGCTTCAACATATGATTTTTTTGTGGTGTTTTTTAGAGTATCTTAATAATAACATGTTTGATCAAATATGACCTTGAAAAACACATAGCAGTTGACCATCTTCGACTTGCTGGGCCTTTGAACTTGGTTCCCAGTCTCAACTTCTGATTGAAAAATAAAAATTGAATTTAAAATGAGTGCATGATTATGTTCCAGATTCAAGATCCAAGAAAGAAGCTGTTGTTGAGTGAAATAAGCACCAATCTCTTATAAGATAACTGCCTACTTTTAGTGTTCGTATGTCAATAGAAAGTTGATTACATTCTGAAGAATTTCAGTGATTGAGCATAATTTGCAGGAAAGTTATTACGGAAGCATAAGCTATTGAGTACTTGATAAAGATGGTAAAGTAACATCTATCTGGGAAAGCCTTTTAAATTACAAAGTAAATTATAATACATGCCAACAAAATTGCTTACCTCTAAGTTATCAGGCTTACAGAACATGCTATTATAAAAAATTCATGTAAAGTTTAAAATCCAAGTGAAGATGATATATCAGTCATTTTTTTTTATCTTTGGCTTATACACTGGCTATGGGGCTAAAACATCCTCTCTGCCCCTTGTGGTATAGGCTAGGTCTGCCCCCCCAACCCCGTCCAAAAAAAAAAAGACCCTACCTCTGTGTGGGATATACTGTGTTGGTCTGGTTTGGTTTACTGGTTACAGGAAAGAATGGGATTTTTACCACAATTTTCTGTTGCGGCATCATAACAACTTTAGTCCAGAGGCTTTAGCAGTATTCAATCCGACTTCTGAACTGCATATGTTATTGTGATCAGGCAGGTACTCAAGCTTTGAAGTTGAGTGCGTGGAGACAGCTTGCACATGAAGAAGGTATATGGTTATGTTTTTTCTCTAGCATGTGAATAGAATATGATACTTAAATATGGTACAAATTCATCAAAGAAAGATTTACCAACAATTGTTATCATTTTCACAAAAATTGTTTTTACTAGTTTGTTACTTTATTGATAATAGATGAAGAAGACATAGCAACTGAATCATGAACAAATGCATTTCTACAAATCCAACACAAATAGAGGCAAATTTCTTATATGTTACAAATATATTCATAAATTATTCTGAAAAAGAGAGAATAATTTGGAAGTTTGAGATAATGGAACACCTAGAAGGTTATAGTTGTCCTTAATTCTTTGATCCCAATTCAATTGTAGAGCGAGCATAATATAAATGTGAGGCTGTAATCCCTCGCCCCCCACCGTTCTATTAACAGAGAATATAAAACATATACAAAGGGCTTACAAAAGAAACCTACCATATACATGAAAGGAAACAAATCAAACCACATCCTGAAAATATTATTTATATAATTATTAATTTATTATCACACCCCCGTAGTCGAAGCCGGAGAGGGACGTACGGCGAGACTGGACCGAAATTCTGAGAATAAGGTGGAGGAAAGGCCTTTGGTGAATATGTCCGCATATTGAGATGAGGAGGGAACATAGAGCACACGAACTTGACCAATGGCAACCTTCTCACGAAAATGTATATCCATCTTAATGTGCTTGGTACGTTGGTGTTAAATGGGATTGGTGGAGAGATAAACGGCACTGACGTTGTCACAATACACTAATGTGGCTTTCTGTATGGGGTGATGGAGTTCAGGAGCCAAAAGTCTCAACGACATCATTAACGACCCCACGATACTCGGCTTCGGCACTAGAATGGAAAAGTGTAGGCTGTTGATGTGGTGAAATCGTAAGTGTTCACACAGTGGGCACAAAGTCCCCATAGTGGCGGTGCAAGTGCACGCTGACACTATGCGCTTCAAGTAATAGAGTGGTATAGTACCAAGATCGTTTTCACAGGGACTGGACTTACTGAGAATAGAGTTTCATGAACTTCTTGAGAATGTTTCGGTTTGAGAACAAAAGTTAAGTTTTGTTGGTGCAAAGCTTTAGAATATGAAATAAACCTTTAAAATTAAAAGATGGGTATAGGTGTAAGTTTCCCTTAAGAAGATTGTAGGAACAGTATGGTCAGAAACTCATGGGACTTCTATAAGAACTCTGATCTCTCGAAAGTGAATTCTTATATACTGTGCCCATAGAGTGCCCACAAAGCATCCAGTTTTATGAGTTTTAAACTTGTCGAATTAGCTAATAGATAAAAAGATATCTTTTTCCACTAGCGTGAAGATTTATACTCAAATCTCTTTGCAGTATAAACTCGACTAATATCTGAACATTAGCTAAAAACATGCAGAATCCGTATCTCTACGTGATTATCAAAGACTCTCTCAAATCTTTGTGTATCATTTAAGCTTCATTTCAGATCCGCCCATCTCTGGATCAAGGATCTAATATTAACACTTCAAAGTAATCGGCTTATCCGCGTTGAACTTAAGTCCCGACTTAAATGACCAAGCTTAAGAATTAATAAAAATGGCAACACCCAAGTGTGCCTTTAAGTTCTTAAGTTTGACTCGCACCCACATCCAAAAGGGTTATTAGCTCATAATGAAATTCTAAAACATAGAAGAAAAAGAAGAGAAATGCATAAGAAATACTTGAATGGAAATTTTACTAAAATTGTTGCCCACATGGGGCATACAAGGCACAGTAGTGAGAATAGAAGCTAAATACGAAAATAAAATTAAATGCAGAAACTAAACTTGCTCTATTGCTCCAGAACTTCAGTTGAGAGTAAATGCTCCAAGGTTGATGTCTTCCATGTGAGAGAATGCTTCAATTTATAGGGAAAAAGTGAGAACCGGACATTCTTTTTGCCCAAAGGACGAAAGTCTTCTTGACTAGAGGGTAATAACCTCCCATCACTTGTCTATTTTTCTGGCCTTGTCACCTTTTTTGAAAGGACGAAAAAGGTAAAGTTACCTAACCCTTAAAATAAGGAAAAAGTAAAGAAGGCATTTTCATAAAAATAAAGGTAGGGTTACTTTAAGACATTTTTTTATTCAACCAGGCACATTCTTCTAAATAATTCAAGATTTTCGGATCTGACTTTAAAATTAATTCACTTAAATACCCAGGAGAGCCAGTATTTAAATCTTGTCCAAATCCGTTTTGAGGAAAATATGAAGTAGATAGAATGTGAGCAGAAAGTGGGCATTTTAACAACAGCAACGGTTTTTCAAAAAACAATCAAATTCCTGACCTTTCATCACCTCTTAAAATATTTTGGACCAAAAATACAGGTTAGGAGCAAAATGGGTACATAATACACATAAAAATGGGAGTATTGAACAACAAATAACTCTCACAAATTGAGAGTTATCAGCTGTCTTTTAGAGGGCTATGAAATCAAATTGTCCCCCAGAAAGACGCAATACCCTGATGTGGAGCGACGAGTGTCTGGATAGGTGTATAAGTTAATATGCCTTCACTCCCCTTAGTCACATTCTCTCTTTTAGAAGAGAAAAAAATGTTATATTTAATGGTTGCCATAGATTTGCTCATGCTAATTTACTACCAAAAGGAATCATCAATTTCGTCCATTGGCCTTCAGACACTATTTCTTAAAGCTGAATAATAGCTAAAATTATCAAACCAAATGAACCATTGTAAAGTGGATAAGCTTGTTGATCATCATCAGTTAACCACTTGGTCAAGGTCAGCTTGGTAACTTACACGCAGCCATATCCAATCTTGCCTGAGTTAGAAAATGCAAATTAAAGCACTTTTGCACACAAGTACTATGCAAAAGTTTCGTAGATTAGTGTTGTTTCTCATTTGGATAGAGCTCAAGTCGTGGAAGTTTTAATCGTTCTTTTACTGATTTCTGCAAAGAAAGTTTGCCTTGATGACAACCCCTCCCCTTTTCTCCCCTAATAATCACGTTTTCATGCCCGCTTTCTTAACAAGTCTTCTATTTCCACGAGGAATTGCTCCTTTTTCTATAAATTGTTTTCTTGACATCATTAAGTAACTTTTGTTCTTGTTCTCCATCACAGATGGACATTTCATGCTGTCTGGTGAACAAACCTCTGTTTTATCACTGATCCATATAGAATCTCTTCAGTCATCTGTTAATTATGTTAAGCTGGCTGTATTTAGCAAGAAATTCCAAATCTGAAACTTAATTGTATTATATAAGGTGTGCACAACACTTACCAACCACCATATTGCTGGTCGAGTAGCCGGAACTATGGACCTTACTAAATAATTAACACTCATTAAATAGATTTAGCTGAAGATTGTATTCTTAATCACACAACTTGATTAAACCCACCCATTTCACCTATCTACAAAATTATTCAAGTGGCATTATTTCACTATATCGGTGTTTCACATGCTTATCCTTGGTTTTTAGGGGAAGTTACTCACCCTTTATGCTATTTATTCAGGAAAGGAGATCCCTGATGATGATGATGTACAAAGGCTTTTGCTTTATGGTGCTGCTGATCATGTTCTGCATAAGGTTTAATAATTCTTGAAGTTCTGACCTCCATTTCGATATTAACTGCATTTGAGATGAAGCTTTTGGAAATTACATTACAGGACTTCTGATAGATCCATTTCTGAATATTGCTGCTGAAGTCGAAAATAAGAAAATTGTCTTGTTTTCTGAACTTGATGATATTAACTGAGTTTGTTTAGGATCTCTTTATGCCCCATGTTTACGTATTCATTTACCATTCCTACTTGTGTATCTTGATGATTTCAGTCACTATCCTATCTCAAAACTATAATATTCAAATAGGAGCAAAGTCGGTCATAATTTGAACTCATTAAGCTCCAATGCCCAATTTTAAACTTTATTTTTTTACGATTGGTGTGATTTTGCATGATTTGTTTATCATTCGTCATTCAGGGTCTCCTAAAACCATCTTAAAACTCTTAGGTGTTGCTCTGGGAGAATGAAGCTTGCGAATTGGAAAGATTAAAGTCAAAGCTTTCACAGTTGTATAGCAACAATCTTCTCGAGGTTATCTCGTTTCAGCTACTTCAATCATTCAGTGTCTTCTTTATCTACAAACGGATTTCTCAAAATCATGTTTTGTTCTTCTTTATCAGCTTTCAGAACCCAAAGAAGGCCTGAAAGAATGGTTGGATGCAGTATCCACCGCCCGAATTCCTTGTGCTGTTGTTTCTAGTCTTGATAGGAGAAATATGGTTGAAATATTGGAGAAGTTGGGGCTTATGAAATATTTCCAGGTAATAATGAAGTGTGATCGACTTCCTAATTTACACTTTTTAGCAGGTATAATTTCAAAAAAATTGCGTTTCCAAGATATTGTTTCCATCTAGGACAAATTCATGATTCCAACAACATATCCGTAACTGGGATCATTGTAATCAATCTATAATATAATTTCTAAAGTGGTTTTTCAGACCCAAAAAGGATAAAGAAGAAAGAAGTTTCTGTCATCTAAAGATCTCGAGAATCCTTGGTAAATCTATATGACAAATATGTCGGTGTTTATGCACATGTAGGCAACAGTAACGGAGGAGGATGGCATGGATTCTATGGCTCATAGATTACTTTCTGCAGCTGTAAAGGTAAGCGTGCGTTCTTGATAATATGCTTTTCTCTAACGACCAATATCGAACATGAAGAACCTCCTCATGTTCATGGCATTGAATATTATTCAGGTCTCACCATGACATTCTAATAGTTTGGCAATGTTAACTCAAAATTTCGATGAAAATGATAAATAGTATATTGGCTAAAATGCATTAAAATTTAATGAAGTTTGTCTTGGTTCTTACTTATTCCTATTTTAATGCACCTATGAATATTTTTATTTTTCTCAATTAGTGTAACAAACGTTCAATTCTATCTATTTCGTACCCGTTTGGACCAATGACCGTAGTTCTTGTATCTATTTCATACTCATTTGTGGAAAAATGTCACATTAAAACCAAGAGAGATTTCGTTTTAATTTTGACCAAATGTCTGAATTTATATTGCAGTTGGATCGAAAACCCTCGAAATGTGTGGTGTTTGAAGACGATCCTCGTGGTATAACTGCTGCTCACAACTGCACGATGATGGCGGTGGGACTCATTGGTGCACATCCAGCGTACGAACTTGAAACCTCTAACGATAATAATTTTCTGCAAGATGAAGATTGATTAATGTTTGAAATGAGAACTTTTGCATTGCAGGTATGATCTGGTGCAAGCCGACCTTGCTGTTGGTAGTTTTAACGAGTTGTCGGTGATCAATCTGCGTAGACTTTTTGCACACAAGGGTTCGACGTTTATGGAACTACAAAAGCAAGTTGTAGAGAAGACACCTCCAAGAAGGAGACTCACAATTGACACCATCTTTTGAAAAATTCTTCATGTAAATTTTTTTAAGGTTGAATGTTAGCATTTATATCAATCAATCAATTCTTGTATATAAAACAATATATATAATATATAGTTAATTAGAATGAAGCATGCAGCAAATCTCAAACAGTCTGGTTGTTTGACAATTGCTGAATGGTTTATTGCAGAATGATTAAGAGGTTCTCATGATATAATGCAAAATGAAATATAATTGTTTGGTAATTGTGTACAATGAAATTAGGGCTCTTAATGGTTAAGAGGATCTAAGATGCAAAATTATTCAGAAGGTTTTAGAACCATTAAGAGACAAACTTTTTTTTTTGCCAAACAAGACTCACCTATTAACGATTCAGAAGTTGCCTCTTAATGGAACTATTAAGAGGTAAACAAACAACTAGGCTTCTGCTTGAGCTTGAATATTTTCTCAAGCTTGATACTTGTTTATAGGCTTGAACTCGAGGTCAATTAGCTCACTTTTGAATTGGTCTCAATAATTTTTATACTCGGATTATATGATTAAATATGTTTGGCTTGAAAAAGTGTATGCACAAATGGCTTGATTCGTTTTTATTCGATTCGAAAAATTTAAGTCGAGGTTTCGAACGAGTTGATTGTTGTCAACTGACAGCATTTGAATCTTGAACGAAGTTGGATTTCAAATCTTGATGACAAGTGATAGCCGAATTGAGCTGCGCAATTTGGTTTTGTTGTGGTTTCTGATTTAAACAATTTCAAGTTATTGTGTAAAATAAGATGAATTCTTAGCAAATGACTTGTTTTTAAACAAGGTATATGTATGTGAAGCCGTAATTTCAAAGGTGGACTCTGCTTTTCATGATTGCTTGTAAATAGTTCATCGATCTGAAATCAAGTACTATGCATGAAAACACCTGATCCCAAGGGGGGCATTTTGGTCATTTGGTTTTCTGTATCTGGACATTCATGTTAAATAAGTGAGGTATAAGTAGTTTTATATATTAAGATTTTCATGTTAATGTATATATATATATATTAAGATATGTGAGGTATGTTAATGTTTATTAAGTGCAATTAACACATGTTAAAAATTCAATATATTTATGTTAAGGTTTTCATATCAGGTATTTTAAGTTATATTAAAGTTCGTGTATCCATGCCATCAAAGTTCCGTTCATTTACATCCCTCCCACCGCGTTCTTGTAAGCCCTTTATCAAGAAAAAGAAAAACCCAAGGGTTATGAGGTATCGAGCGGTTCTTACAAAAGATAAAATTCTCACATGATCCCAAGTCTGCAAACATACCCACCTTCACCCGCTATGAAAATCCATGAGTGAGTGACCAAGTTTTTCATCTCAATTTTGCTAAAATTTAGGGGCCGTTTATCAAACACTTACCCGGTAAGCACTTATCGATAAAATTCAATATTATTATTTACTTACCGAGTAAGCATTGGGTAAACGGACCAGTCAAGAAAATGCAACCTTTCAAATAAGTATCCACCAATTCAGTCCATGGATATATACCCAAGAGTTATATGACCATTCAAAGTCGCTTCTAATAGCTTGGTCAAGAAAAAAGAAAGAAACAGGTTGCAAATGGAACTAAATCTTGAGGAAAATAAAACATATCGACAGTCGATATATAAAATCTATGCAGCAATCATCTAAATACAAGTCAAAACCATACTTTGGATGTCTGCACGTCCAATGTACATGCTTACAAGCTTCGCTAAGACCAACTCCTAACCAAATTTTATACACTAAAGTTAGTAAAGTGCATGTCTTAAAACGAACATCAATTGCTAGCTGCACACATTTCAAACATACTGAATTGCAGAATTGGATTTCAATATTCTAAATTCAGGAGAATGAGAGATTGTGGGAATTTGCAAGTTGTGTTTGTCGTCGTCCTAAACGGAATCCAGTTAGTATCCATAAGATGCAAACCTGATGTGGATTCAATTGAAAAGAAGGCCATAATCAGTAAGGATTTGGATTCATGTAAAGGGCATTACAAACAATAAATGATCAGGATGTTAGCGAGGATCAGAAGTACTCACGGGAACTGCATAGAGGGAGACACTGGTTGTTCTGCCGTTAAGACTGCTGTACAGTAGCTTGTACATTCCAGCTGCAGTAGCATCTCCAAGCCTTTGAACAAGGACATCTATGCATACCTGTAGTAGGATATGTGCGTATTGTGAATAAAAGAGTCATTTGAACTGTGTATGTGGTCCCCACACCTTTAGCCTAGCGGGTAAGGAGCTGGGCATCCTTGCAAAATGAGCAGGACATCTGGGGTTTGACTCCAGGTACCACCTACCTGCCCCTGGGACGCATAATTTACCTCCCAAATGATGGTTGTGAGACTAGTAAAGTGGGGGCGCTCCAGACGGTCATATCATACCCTTTTTATAAAATGAGGTATGTGGATGGTGACATCATAGCCTCTTTCCAAAATGAGGTATGTGGGTGGGTGGGT